CAAGAAACATCAGCAAGACTAGAGCTGATGGCAGATGCCTCTTCAATGTCAGAGCACAATATGTGTTAGTGATATATTAAACTAGAACTATATGGGGAAACAAACATATCTAGAGCTTTCTAATGACAAGTTTGAAGGCAATTTTCATATCCTTGAGACAGTACAAATCAGATATACAACAGCTGTTAATAAGTGAACTTCTTCCTTTCATAAATAAAAGTTCCAAAACAGATACTCACCTATTAATCCTTCCCATTACCAAGCTTTCTCACACCACTACGGTTTTGCCTTTCCGCCACCTCTCCCTACAGGTTTCGCTGATAATTTACCTCACAGAGCTAAAGGTAAACGGTGTTAAACATGCAAGAAAATCTTTTGCTTGCCCTCTTTCTTTACTTATGTCTCTGACAGGAGCCTTAAAAGAAAGCCAAAGGAGTTTGGGGAGTAAGTTCAAACCTAACACTCTGGCATAACTGTAAGTTCTGGACCCTAATTTAAACAAAGATATGTTCAGTTAGAATTCAGTGTACATCAGAGTATACACATAGCAGAAGGCACACAAGGTCAAGTGAGGCTCTATAACCCAGGTGGGCTGTTACGACAGGTCCCTTTCAGCCAAAACTATACAGCCTCAGAAATATGTACACGGATGCTTAAGATGTGTGTACAGAGGTTGGTAGCTGTATGTGTGTGATGCTTCAGAGGGCTATTGCTCTTCACTCAGCTATCCATGTGGTTAACCATCCTTGAGAGAATTCCAACAAGGGTTACCAAATACTTATAGCTGAAAGTTTTGTGGTTTTTTTGAGGTTATGAGCAAAATATATTTATTGAGGGAAACAAAGCTCCTGTCCAAGAGGGTCCCACAGGAGGGGGGCCCGAGCGGGTTGCCCCTGTAAGTTTTTCATATAGGAAAGTCATTAACATGATCGTGTGATATGGTTTCAAGTTAATGATTTCCCACTAGTGAATCTTTTAATCTACCTAGTTCAAAAATAGTGCTTGTACATGGTAGGTACTCAATAAATGGATTTGAAAAAAAAAAGAAAAATCAGAGAGACTTATATAGTACAATATGCATAATACATGTTTACTGTGATCAGTGTAAAAACTTAGATATGAAATACCCCCCAAGGATGATACGTCAGATTTTCCCCCACTGCAACAATGTTCAGAATGGGGCTTCTGGGAAGTGGTTTGCTCCTAGGGGCTCTGACATCATCAATGGATTAATCCTCTGCTGAATCCAAAACTGCAGACTATTGAGTCATGGGAGAACTGCAGAAGGTGGGGCCCAGTTGGACGGCGGTCACTGGGGCAGCACTCACAAGAGTGTGTCTTGCCTTCTGCCCACCCCTCATTCTTGGCTGCCATGCCTTTCACCATGATGTTTCCACCTCACCACAGGCCTATAGCAACGCAGCCAGCCAGCCCTGGACTACAAGTTTTTTTTTTCCAGTGGAACTGTCTTTCCCCAAAATGTTGCAGATCAGTTACAGCAAACAGAACGGCGACCGTCAAGGAAAATTGTTACTCTGGGCTCCTTTTTGACTGCAACTACACACAGAAGCAGCTGCAGCTTCGATAAGGGCCGCTGACTACAACTTCTGAAACTGAATCTAAGTAAACCTTTCTTCCTTTAAGTTATAATTCCTAGGTATTCTGTCACAGCAACAGAAAGCTAACACGATCAGTGACAAGTATGTTACTAGAGTCTGGCAAGCACAAGGGCCTGAGTTCAATCCTCGGCTCCACCAAAAAAAAAAAAAACCAGCCTGGGGGTCCGGCCAAATAGCTCAGCAGATTAAAGCACCTGCAAGCAGGGGCTGGGGGTTAGATCCCTGGCAGATCCCCATGTTGGGGGCTGGGGAGACGGCTCAGTAGAATAAGTGCTCCTGGCAAGGGCAAGGGCCTGAGTTCAATCTCTAGTTCTGCCCCAAAAAAAAAAGTATGTTACTAGACTATATTTGTACACTTTGGTAATATAAGTCTTCTACAAAGACTTACATATCTCTAAAATAAGATCCTAATACATATCTTTTTTTTTTTTAATTTTTATTTATGTGGGGGGGGCAGCTCAGCCCACCAGGGGGCAGCACTGGCTGGCATGTGCTGGGGATTGAACCATGGTCCCTGTGCTCTGCTAAGCTTGTTCTAAGTAGGTGCTTTAGACCACTGAGCCATCTCACCAGCCCCATATCTTTTTTCAGAATAAACTCCTTATAAGATTAAGTGGAAGACACAGTGGTCCTATAAAAACACTTACACACATATGAAGCTTATAAAAACAAAACTTACATGCAAAAACCAGTATCTCATTCATATTACTATACATACGGGCTTTTTACTCTTTTAGACAAAAGCCACTGTCTTCTAACCCATTGTACTCTTTCACATTTTTACTACTTTCATTTCAATTCAGTCTCCCTTGACAGTTTATAATTGGCTATGCTTCAATTACTTTTTATATTAAAAAATATTCTTATACGGCTTAATATCCCTCTTAACTCAGAATTCACCTACAAATAATAAAGATGGTGTATATTGTGGCCTGCACCTGGATACCCCCACCCCCCAAAGCCTCATGCAGCCACAGGTGGGGGGTTTCAGAGATGGCTGGATCTAGGGTGCGTGGTGCTAGGATTCAGGGTGTGAGTACCAAATCAATCCACATGTGCATAAACTAGGAACTAGGGTTTGGCACCACCCTAGGTCCCACAGCCTACATACAACATGGAACAGGCAGAAAGATGCTGCTAAGATTCCTTGCTTGGGGGCCAGGGAGATGGCTCAGTGGAATAAGCACTTCCCTGGCAAGTGCAAGGGCCTGAGTTCAATCCCCGGTTCTGCAAAAAAAAAAAAAGATTCCTTGCTTGCTTGCTTTTGAGGTCTTCTGCTTGCCATGAAGTGTGTATCTTCTTCAGTGACTCTCTGCCAAGCCACCCTACTTTGGAGCCGGCAGATTATGGGCTAAAACTACAAACTGTGAGTTAAATAAGCCTTTCCCCTTTCACTCTGGGTGTTGGGTATTTTGTCTCAGCAATGAGAAAAGTAACCAAGACAAAGTATATTTTATCATAAATGTACAAACACATGGAACTATCATTTTTAATTTAAAATTATAAATAGAAAATGCTGCAAGTTTAACCAAAGAAAAGTTGAAATAACAGGAAAAGTATAACAGAGTAGACTAGGAAAATGTTACAGGATTTTAAGTGAATCTGCACGGCTGCCTTAAAATGCCTAATACAATGATCATTACTGTCGTTGTTGCTTTTTAGCTTCATTACTGTTATAATGCTCAACAACTGGTCTGTAATTCCCTGACACTAATCTTGCATGCGCTAAAATGTAGCTCCAAGGTACTATAAATATCATCCAAGAATATCACCAAAAAATCTGTTTCCTTGTAACTTAAAACCTTCTCATAGCTGAGCGAGTGGAAGTGCCTCAGCATTACATCTTTCTAATATAACCCTCATCTTGCTAGGGTTCTTTTTTATCACATTATCTCCATATATTCTGCATTTTCAGCTCTACAACTATGGAACATTCCAAAACATTTTATGACTCCTCTGTTTTTGTTCCCAGTATTATTTCTTTTGGTGAAAATACTTTTCTTGTCTTCTCAGACATTTGAAATCCTCATTAGGTATAATTTAGCTCAAATGCTATACCATTCACCTAATCGACGGTTCAGTACCTAAACTTCTGAACACTGGGGATACAAAACAAGATATATTTATATAATAATATAAAAGAATACCTGTTCAGCTCTCACAGTGAATGAACCAGAGCTATGTAACAATGACAAATCGTAAAATAATATTAAGTAAACATGGTAGCAGCAAACAATATATATTACTGATTGCTAAAATTATACAAAACAAGGGCTGGGGAAATAGCTCAGTAGAATAAGTGCTTGCCTGCAAGCGAAAGGTCCTGAGTTCAATCCCCAGTACTGAAAAAAATAAAATAAAATAATGCAAAACAGTACTGTATACTAATTAAAAATTAAAATATGGAGGCACTTTAGGAGAGTGGGTATCATGGGCAAAGGCTCATGGGGTACAGAACAGAATGGGGTAGAGCTGACAAAGACTTTCAATTACTTACATAATCATCTATTTCTTCACTTGATTGGAAAGTACACAAAACTTCGTTCATCCCTTTTTTTCCTTTTTTCAATATATTTAGTACAGAGTCTACAGGGTCTCACTACACAGATTGGACTCACAGTGATCCTCCTATTTTCAGCCTCCCAAACGCTGGGATTACAGGTCCGCCCCAGTCTCAATCTCCATCTTAGTGTTGGGGGGACGGAGGGCACCGCTGGGCGCGGATCGAACCCCGTTCCCTGTTTGCATAAGCAGGCGCTTTAATCCACTGAGCTATCTGGCCGGCCCTATCCCTGTCTAAGTCCTCTTTTAAAAAGCATGCACAAGTGTTGGTGCTTTCCTAAAGATGTTGTAATTCTGTTACAAAATCATGAATTTGGACTAACTCCCGCCTCCCGCGTTGTCGGTACGCACACTTTGCTGCAGCAGGCCTTAAAGGTCGGAATTCGCGGCACCCGTTTCTGGTCCATCAGAACCAGATCCTCCAACCGGAGATCGCCGCAAGGGCCCCCCTGTGCTACGCTGCAGCCAGGTCTCACAGAACCGACCCTCAGGCTGTCGCCCCTCATCTCCCCATGGCTGAGCCCATCCTCCATTGTCACTTCAATTCGTCCCTTCAACAAAACCAGAACCTGTCTGCCCAAAACGAACTCTAAAACGTCTCGACTCTCGCGACTACTCCCGCCACCCGCGGCCGGTCTCGCCTCCCCAACTCCACTTCCGGCCTCACCTAAGAAATCCCCATCACGTCCGGAAAGGGACTGGAGCGTGCCCTCCACGCATGCGCAAAACAGGGGCGCTAGGCGGAAACGCTTTTAAGCACCGCCTTCCACCGAGTTCTCGCGGCATTTCCTATTCTCGCAGGATTTGCTTCAACCACTCGGCGGTACAGCGTTCCCGACGCTGAAACGTGGGTTTGCGGCAAAGTTAGGAGACTGGGGATGGGGAGCGGGGACGGGCAGCCATCTGCGCCCCAGCGTGGGCAGGGCTAGCCCTGGCGCCGAGGGAGCCGAGAGGAGGTTCCGGCGGGCGGAGGCGGCGCGCGAGTGGGGTGCTGTCGCCCTGGGCGCCCCCGCATTCCCGCGCGACTGCCCTCTCCTAAGTGCTGAGCGGCCGGTTCGCTGGTCTGGCGCAGCCTTTGCGGTGCTCGCTTGGAGCGCCGTGTCATCTTTAACAATCCTCCCAGCCCGGTGTGTCTCTTTAGATTTCATTACTTGAGAATCTGATTACGCAGATTTTTAAATTTTGTGCATTTCTCCAGACTTTATTTGGTTAAGAGCAACAAACTTGTGATGCTCTGCGTAGGACAGCAACAGCTGTGTATGGCGTCTGCCGCAAGCCTGAGCGCACGCCGAAGGGAAGCGTCGCTTAGTGATGCTAGAGCTACAGAGGTAGCGTCACCTGTTTAAAAACCGTGGTTTTTCTTTTTTTTTTTTTTTTGGCGGAACCGGGGATTGAACTCAGATCCTTGCGTTTGCCAGTCAAGCACTTATCCTACTGAGCCATCTCCCTGGCCCCCTTTCTTTTCCTTTTAAAAATCTGTGGTCAAAAAAAAGAAAATCTGTGGTCAGTTTTTCAAGTAGTTATATTAGTTGCTTGAGGAAAAGAACTGTAGACAAAGTCGCAGAAAGTCTCAGTTGAAATTCAAGTTTCTGTACTTAACCTTTTTGGGTCTGTTTTTAAAAATTATACTAAGATTTTAAATCAGAAAGTTTTGTAAGGCAAAGATGCAGATGCACTTAATTTGGTTTTTAAGACAATGACTTACTGCCAATCTGAAGAGACACGACTGAGAATTTCCAAGGCACTCTCTGGGAGCTGTTTTCATTAGGCAGCCCCCCCCCCCCCAAGGGTCTCACTGTATAGTCCAGCATGGCTTTGAACTCACTATTGTAGATAGCTCAGGCTGGCCAGCACCAGACTCCAAGCGATCGTCCTGCCTCAGCCTACCAGTGCTGGTGTGACACCGTGCCCAGCTAACACAAACAGCGACTTGGTGACTAGCCAAGTTTTAGAGTACCTGCGTAGCAGGTGTGAGGCTGAGAGCCCCTAAATGTGATCACCTGATCCACAGTGAGTGAATGAGTGTATATGGCAGGGGATGGAACTCAGTGTTTGAGTACTTTCCTAAATGCACAAGCCCCTAGGTTGAACCCCCAGTTTAAAAAAGAAAAAGCAAGATTTTCTAAGTTGAGTATTTTGGGGAGTCAGGTTATTGCTTAGGCCAGAGGCTTCAGTCAGTGACCTTGAAAGTCTATATATGAATGAGAAGGAATTTTTTTTTTTTTTTTTTTTTTTTTTTGGGCTAGCTCCAGCTGCCTTAAGGGGCCCATCTGGTGCGGCTTGCGCAGCTGGGGATCAAACCGCGATCCCCTGCACCTGCCTTGAGTTTGCCCAAGGAGGCACTTTCAACAGCTTAGCTAACCCACAAGCCCCTGTGTACATGAATGAGAAGTGAAGAAAGACGCAATTTGAGGCAGTTTATTCGTTTTGCCAAATATGAAAAGGTATTAAAGATTAATAACATTTGAATTATTTTGACATTTTCTCGAAGGCATTCTGGAAATTATGTCCATTTTTATTACCATATTTAAAATGCATATTTAAAATTTTTCTAGATTTGTAAACCATTAAGGTAAATGTAGACATAGTGCAGCTAGGGTTTCAAAAAGTATTAAAAATTTTACATGAAATTAACATATTTATAGAATAAAATTGTAGTGTTGCAGTTAGAAGTTTATTATCTGGGTGCAGGGTTACATGTCACCAGCTGGAACTACGGACTAAGACCCTATCTCAGAATGCAAACAAACAAGAAAACAAAAAAACTAATTTACATGGTAATTCCAGCTGTAACTTAAAAAAAAAAACAACAACAGAAAAACAGTGTTTTAGATAAGTTTGTGCAAAAGAGTGCTGTCTAGAGTGCTGTCCTTATTCTTTTTTTTAATTTTATTTTTATTTATTTAAGTGTGTGTGTGTGTGTGTGTATGTGTGTGTGGCCAGCTCAGCCCACCAGGGGGCGGGGCTGGCTGGCATGTGGTGCTGGGGGATTGAACCGCTGTCCCTGTGCTTTGCTAAGCTTGTTCTAAGTAGGCGCTTTAGACCACTGAGCCATCTCACCAGCCCTGTCCTTATTCTTTTTTGCTCGTTTTTGTTGTTTTTTGAAACAAGGTCTTAACTGTATGAACTCACAGCCATTCTTCTATCTCAGTCTCTTGAGTGCTGAGATTACATGCACGTTCCACCAGAGATTTCAGTGGCTTACCACTCATGTGGTAAAGGTATAGGGCCATTGTGACTGGGGGTTATTTATTTATTATTCTTAGATTTGTTTTTTTAAGATTTTTTTCCTAAGAGATAGAGGAAGTACCATTCACAGAGCTCCCGGGAGGGTCAGCGTGGCTGCACTAGACGGTTAATCTGCCAGCTGTAAGAATGTGTTGTAAACAGGGAAGTAGACAGATTCAGTGCAGGAAGTGGGAGAGCTCGCCTGAGAAGCCGCGCAGAGGCGCAGGTGCCGTCCCAGCCTGGACTTGGCGATCCTCTTGTTCACAGTGCAGCGGAGCTGCAGTTTCCCTGCCAGGTGTGTGGTGATGACAGCAGAGTCCCAGAACACCACTGGTGGCCAGCCCCACTGTGGAGAAAAGTTTTGGAGAGAAGAGGGTGGCTGCGACCCAGCTCTTACCCCAGATGCCACTGTCCTTAGGCCTGGTGGCGGCTCTGCAACCTTCCAGCTGAGAATATCAGCGAACAGATCCTTGGACTAGGAGCACTGATCTCTGCACACGTCCAGACCCCGAGCTTGTCTGTGAGACAAAAGGAATTTTCGGGAAGTGAGGCAGCAGAGTGGCCACATCTCGACCTGCCCTAGAGGTCACTGTCACAGCACAGGTGGAAACAGGATTGCAGCTGCTGCCTTGGGGCTGGAGCATCCCTTAGCTAAATAGAAATTCAGAGCCCAGGGAAATGGCAGCATTGTGCTTGGGGGTGGGAAGCTGGAGAGAAATAACCTGTGTGAGGAAGCCCCCGTGCTCGTTTCAGAGCCCACTGAGATGGCAGAAGTCTGAGCAAACAGAAGGGAGTTCGAGACAGGGACAGGGAGTGACGGGAAGGCTGGGGTTGGTGGAGAACCCGAGCCTAAGAGCAAGGGTCCAGCAGTATGGCAAGCTGGAGCCCAGCGGGGCCTCGGACCCTTCCTGCAGGCTGCACGTGGACAAGCTTGGCTGTGACACTGGGCTTCTCTTTAACTCCCAAAGTATTGGAGGACTACCTAAGTGTATACTGAACCACGTGTGGCTTTGCATTTTGCTTTAATTTATCAGGTATTTACATATATCTTCTGAGTTTTCCTACCAAGGGTAATTTTTTTTTCTTTTGTATTTTAGGGAAGGGTTTACAGGATGTTCAGGGTCTCACTACTACATTGGGGACGTAGAGATCTGCCTGTTTACAGCCTCCCAAGAGCTTGGATTACAGGCACGCGCCACCATGCCCAATCTCAGTTGGCTCAGCACACCCTGGGGGCAGGGTCTGGCAGGCAGGGCTGGGGATCAAATCCCTGGCCCCTGAGCCTGCTTGCAGGTGCTTTAATCTGCTGAGCTATTTGGCTAGCCCCAAGGGTAATTTTTGGAGTCTCCCGAAGCTGGGTGTCTACAGAATTGAGCTACTTATTATGTCCAGTGCCCATTAAGCCCCTTATGCTTGCTTCCAGTTGTATTTTTCTTTTCATGCCCTCTCATTGACTACTCAGATCCTTTCTCCCTCTACTCCCCGTTCCAGGCATAAAAATAATACCATCAAAACCACTTTTCTTTTTCCTTCCATTTTATGCTTCATTTAATTTTTCCTCCTGCTCGTCAGCCTGCTTGTCAACCACTATTTCATCTTTCTGGGTCACTGACAAAAATTTTGAACATCTTTCAAGTGTTGATGTATGCTTGCTTCTTTGTACATTGTTTTTACAGGAAATTGTTCTGTGCTTACAAGGCAGTGGCAAGGACTGAACCGAGCACAGTCATACGTGGGTTCACAAATGCTTCTGTAAATGAACAGTTCTGTTCACCTCACTAAGTTCAGGTCAGTTTGCCAACAGAAGCACTCAGTAAAATCTTTCTTCTGTTCCTGAACTCTGCACCTGGTGAGGAACAGCAGCCCGGCTATCTCTGGCACGTAAGCATGAATGCAGCTGTCTGTGCCACTGTGAGAAGTGGTTGTGGCTTCCTCTGGTTGAGGTGAGGGTCACAGAGCCGTGCCCTCTCGCCAGGAAGCTTTCTGTGTGCTGCTTAGCACGTGCAGCACTGTACGGTGTTATCCAGGCCATCTTGGCACTAAAGGAAGTGCAGGGAGATGCCGGAATGTGCAGAGCAAGATGCTGTGAAGGCGCACAGCAGGAGAGGCCAGAAGAAGACTTTGGGGACAATACTCATGGACTAGGGGGCTGGTGAGATGGCTCAGTGGTCTAAAGCACCTACTTAGAACAAGCTTAGCAAAGCACAGGGACCGCGGTTCAATCCCCCAGCACCACATGCCAGCCAGCCCCGCCCCCTGGTGAGCTGAGCTGGCCACACACACACACACACATACACAAATAAATAAATAAAATTAAAAAAAAAATACTCATGGACTAGCAGAAGGAAGCTGCAGAAAAGCACGGGGGTGGAATCATGGCACCAACCTGGCCTCATAGTATAAGGCGGTGAGGGCGGTGGTCTTGCCTAGGCTGAGGAATGGGGATGCTGTCACGGGAGCCAGTGTGGCACAGGGAGTAGCATTATCAGCTAACCAGGGGACCTGTGCTGGAAGAGGTAGGAAGGCTTTGGTCAGTGCGGTCGCGTGGGACGCAGCTGACAGGTGCAGTGTTCGTGAAGCTCGGGTCCGTGCATGGGCCACGACACGGCTGGGAGAGTTAGCACGAGAAAGCACTCCAAGTCAACGGGTGATGAATTTAAAGCCAGTAGAGGGTGGCTGGGTAAGTTCTGCAAGAGAAGTGGCATCCACAGTGTGATGAGACACGGTGAGGTTCTAGCTCTGACAAGGATGCAAATAAGAGAACTTTCATGATGATGCCACAAGGGTTTATGAAGAAAAAAAAAAGACAAAGGCTGGGGAACTAGGTCAGAGGTATAAGCATCTACCTGGCAAGCACAAGGAGCCAAGTTCGATCCCCAGCTCCAGTGACTTTCTGGCCTGGCACCAGGCGTGGTAGCACACATAATCCCAGCAGTAAGGATTGAGACAGACCAGCCTGGAGGCTATAAGTGTGCACAAGGCCAGCCCAAATGGCATAGTGAGACTTTGTCTCAAACAAAACAAATCAGAGCATTTCTACCCTGTCATCTCCCTTCCCCAGGCCTTTTTCATCTCATCATAATTCTTTTTTGTTCCTGGTACTGGATGTCTAATTTAGGGCCTTGCGCTTTCCAGGCAGGTGCTTGTGCTGCTGAGCTCCGCCCCTGCTCGCCTGATCAGAATTCTGATGAT